GCAAGTTTACTTAAGAGTACTTGCTCAGTTTAATTAATAAAAAGTTGAGAAAAATTGATTTTTGTGAAAAAATTTTTGGTTAAATTTGGTACAAGTGATGTACAGATTAAGTTCTGATTATCCTGCATTTATTTTTTTTTTTTTATTTTTTATTTTTTTTCCTTTGACAGTCACGTCATAAACTTTATTAAGTTGTTAACCGTAGCCATAGCCAAGTTACATATGATTATAAAATCTACCTAATTTCCTAAGCTTGACATTACCTAGCTGCTACTAGAGTGCTCAGGTATGACCTGTCGTACTAGCATTTAAAAATTCTAGGCTTAGTTATGCATATTGCAGATCATCCGATGCAGATTGTGTAACAATAATATATCGTAAAATACTAATAATTATACGTATCGGTATATGTATATCTAATCCGTCCCATTTAATTTATTATCAAAGTACCTATTTTTTTATTATTTTTAAGCATCCGTTACTGCTCTTGACTATTTATGAATTATTTAATTTAATTAAATATCCGTTACCGCCCTTAAAGAACCTTGACTATTTATAAATTATTTAATTTGATTGTGCACTTTAACATATTACTAAGAACATCATTAATTGTGCGCTTTAACTTATTTCTAAGAATGTTATTTAATTATTTTTTATACTAGCACACTTCTATAAATATAAAACGAATAGAGTAAAAACAAATGGATGTAGTATAAGATAAAATTATTTGATTTGTTACGATTTTGTTTAATCACGCCAAATCAAATAATTTTTGTATTTCTGGTATCAGCATTAAAGTTTGGCATCATTTATTAGATTATTATTTTAACACAAATCATACAAATATATCGAAGTATTAAATATTAAAAGATCTAGTTTAGTGTCTATAAACTTTTAAAGTGCTATACGAAAAAGTACTTACATATGCACTACAAGTATTTACTGCAGTACTGTACATAACATACATACTATTGTTATACTGATGAATATTTATTTGTACATATGTATATGCATATTTACCACTTGAATTATTACCTGATTCTAAGTTTATATCGATATTAAAGCAAATAAGAACTATGCATCTTTTTTTTTTATTTATATAATCTTAATACAAAGTTTGTAAAAGAATTTATAAAAAAAATAAAGTAGCTAAAATTAATTAGCTCTGTTATTATTAATATTTTGCGCCAAATTATATGGCTTTCGCATTGTTTTTCTTTTTTTTCTTGGTTGCATTTCAAGTGGATTTTCATTTTCTTTATTATCTAATGGTTGTCTTCCCAAAGTCTTTCTTTTTAGACTATGCGATACAGCTCCTTTTCTTCTTTGCACTGATGCTACTTGAACAGGTATTTTTGTGCTGTTTCGAACTGTTATAGGACTATTTGCATGCTGATAGATGAATGAAACCAACCTATTTTCGGAGAGACTTTTTGCAGCATAATACCCTTTTTGAAATTTTTCAAAAGCTGAAAGAAGTTGTGTATTTTGTCTAATATCATTTTCCACCTCATGAAAAAAACTAGTTAAAGATTCAATGCGATTTAGCTCTTCATTATTATTTGTATCCTCTGTATAACTAAAAACAAAGTATAAATGATTAATTAATTTTGTAAGAATTCTAATCTATATACATATACATACTTTATTTTTTCACTCGGATCAATTTCAGTATTTAGCTTTTCATTATTATTAGTATCCACTATAAAACTAAAAGCAAAGCATAAGTAAATAATTAATTTGTAAAGATTCTAGTATATATGTCGTGCGTCAGATTAAAACTTGTATCAGATTAAAACTGGTCGAAATTAGAGTTAGGGTTAGGGTGAGAACTAGGATTTAGCAAAGCCGATTATTGCAGGTCATTTAATGCTGGCCTTATGGTTTTAATCTGACGCACGTTGGTTTTAATCTGACACCAAGTTTTAATTTGACGCACAACATATACACATATACATACTTTATTTTTTCACTTGTATCAACTTCAGTATTTAATGTAAATTTTGAAATTGAAGTTTCTTGAATCTTTAATTGATCAACGATACTATTATTAGATGTTAGGTGCATTTGTGGACGTAAAGAAGCGTAAAACGATCTTTCTTGAACTATTGAACCTAAATATATAATTGATTATAAGACTTTCTTATCAAACTTAAATATATAATAATAATAATATATAATGATAATTACTAGTTGCAATATAAAAATAATTCATTCGATCATCAATAGTAAATGTATCGATAAAATTAGATGTTCCTTCTTGAAACTTTAAAGCAATTGCAGCCTGATGTTTACAAGGAGCTCCTGAAATACCAACAAGGCAAGAACATGTTCCAATAGTCGGGTCAACTATATACATTTTTTCAACTACTGTAGTACTAGGTACGTCATATGTAATATCATCTTCTCTATGCAGGATGCCTTCAAGATTAAGATTCTTATGCTTATAACATAAAAACTTTTCTATAATATGCATTCTTTCAGGATGTTGATTTGAAATAGCTAAAAGCCAACATTCATAAAAATGTTCTAAATTATTAATAATAAAGTGAAAAATTTGTACAATATTATAAGCCTGTGTTTGTCTAAAAACAATATCTTTTAATAGTCCGAAACTCTTTTCTATATAATTATTAGTATTGTTTCTACATGTTAATAAGCTAATATAGAAAAAAAGTGCCCAATCTTGTCGTCGATTCCAAGTGCGAGTAATATAAATAGCAAGATTTGGGTATTTTGTAAAATATTGCTGTTGCAAAATTTTATATGAAATTACTAATTCAATTTCTGCTGATGCATATACTATAGATTTCATATATCCCATTATTGTTAACTAATCATCCTTATGAATATGGTGATTAGCATTCCATAACCATCTCCAAAATGCTTGAAGTATATGAAAAACACAAAGAAAAAGTTTTGCTTGACTCTAACAATATCAAAGTGCATTTCGTTCAGCCTTACAATCATCAGTAATTATTATACTTAGTCCAACTTCTGGTCTTCTATTATAAAATGCCTTATTAGGTAATACTGTTTTTAAAAAATTAAAAGCAAATTCAAATGTATTTTCTGATTCATCAGATATTAAAATAATTCCTAAAAGTAGAGATTGTAAAAAATGGTTTAAAATATTTTTACTGATTTAAAACATGAGATGATTAAATTCCAAATAGTTAAATCTGAATTTAAGCATTATAAACTATATAGTTATCACATGTTTTTAATTAATAAAAAAACATTTGTTATCCTTACCTAAAGGTAATGCCCTATGGCACAGCTTGTATATAACAAAATTATAGAAGTATTTAATGAATCAAAAGATGATGATATATCAATGTAGCATAGTTCACCTGCTTGCTGAATTGTTTTATGAATTCTTTGCATCAAATTGCTAACAATATATAAAACAAATACTTGCTTCTTTGTTTTATCAAATAGACAGAAGGCAGCCTTTCCACGTTCTAATTTATTATAATTTTTAACTTCACTTTTAAGCTGCTCAAATATATTATTTCCATTTCATGCTCCAAGTTGAATTGTATGAAACTTATTGTAAAGACTTATAATATATCTACTATCAGAATTTATTACATGATCAGCTAAAATAGTTGCTAAGTTTTTCTCATTATCAGCTAATAAATATAATTTTTCTTCATATTTATAATGTGTAGTTGATGGTATATATCCATATTCAAATAACTTTAAATATTCTTTCTTTGTCTGTATATAAACAAGATGAAAGCTTAATAATACAGCAGATTTAGGAATATGATTATGTGTAAATTTAAGAGATACTTCAAGAGGGTGTGAATTTTTTAAGTTATGTTTTTCTATACAAAATCCAATTATTGCTGAACAGCCAATATTTCTTAAACGTTCACTATGTGGCTTTTTAATTTTGATATCTTTTCCTTGTTTTTCTTTGACTATATTACTGTGTATACAATGCCTTGTTTCATGAAAGATAACCCGCTGACCTTTAATAATGTGATCTCTAGAAATTTGCATTGTTGTTTTTGTTTTTTCTTAAAAATTTTCAAGCCAAACATGTACATGTTCAGCAGAATTAATATTCACATAAAATGTACTAATAATTTGACTTATTGCAATATTCTCATTAGTAATTAATAGGCTAAGTTCACAAAATTTATTTATTATATATGAATAATTTGTAGATAAAATCTCTGCTATTTGCCCTGTAAGTTCAGATCCCAAAATTGACTATAAAATTTTAAAAAAATAATTATTAAATAAAAAATATTAAGTATTTGTGACTTTTTTTTTATATATTACTGCAATATTACTTCTTTTATATTCATATCAAGATTAAAATTAGATTCCAAAGATGATGTAAGGTTTGACAGTTCTACTATTTCTTGATTATATAATACGTTTTCCAGAGTAGTTGAAATCATTCTCATATCTATTGTTCATAAAAAAAATAAATAAGACTTTATTGTAATTAAAAAATATTATTTCACTTAATTAATATCTAAAACATATGTAAAATTTATCTACAATATCTAGTATATTGTCTTAATGATTTTTCAAAGCATAAAAATCTTATTCAATACAAAAACTCAAAATTAAAAGATTTTTTTTTAAAAAAAATTTATATATCATGAATTGCATAATGTCATTAATTATAAACTTTTGCCTTTTTTAATTGACAATTAAAACATTACACAAGCAGAGAATAAAATACCAACACAATTACTGGTTAGAAAACATAACATGCATTAATATTTATATTTTCGTAAAATTATTAATTTTATAATTTCTGTTTTAAGACAAGAATGAACATCAGGCACAGTAAATAACTACTAACACTAATATAATAAATAATTCCAGTTTTCAATCATTAATTCATTAAAGTGCAGTAAATCATTATAATTTATTTATAGCAAACTAGGTTTTAACTTAAAGTACAAAAGTGGATTTGCCTGTACTAATTTTGAATTAAAATTTTTTATAAAAAGTAACAAAATCTGTAATAAAACTTTGAACTTTCTATTAATCAATATCAATTTTGAAAATTGCAAATAAAGAATTTTAGGCTTGTAAATATTTTATTTTATTAATGCATTAGAAACAAAATAGTATCATGTCTGGTTTCTGCTTTTTTATTCTTAGATTACTATGTCAAAATCGCATGTCTGGTACCAGAAACACAAAAATTATTTAATTTGATATGATTAAACAAAATCGCAACAAATCAAATAATTTTATCTTATACTACATCTATTCGTTTTATATTTATAGAAGTGTGCTAGTATATAAAATAATTAAATAAAATTCTTAGGAATATGTTAAAGCATACAATTAATGATGTTCTTAGTAATATATTAAAACGCACAATCAAATTAAATAATTTATAAATAGTCAAGGTTTTTTAAGGGCAGTAATGGATATTTAATTAAATTAAATAATTCATAAATAGTCAAGAGCAGTAACAGATGCTTAAAAATAATAAAAAAATAAGTACTTTGATAATAAATTAAATAAGACAAATTAGATATACATATACTGATATGTATAATTACATATTAGTATTTTACGATATGTATACTATTGTTACACAATCTGCATTGGATAATCTGCAATATGCATAACTAAGCCCAGAATTTTTAAATGCAAATAAAACTCTTACTTTTGCTTAACGTTTCGCTACTGCCTTGACCCATGCCAAATCAAATCTTACCTCTCTTTTAGGTAATATCATATTACACTGCATCTTGGATTTCTCAGCGATGCTGTCACACTATTTCTTTTGGTTAGAGGTAGAGTTGTTAGCCTCTGACAGTAGATCATGAGTTATATTTATTTTAGTTTTTGTAACTATAGGTTTTTTTTTTTAGCAAATTTGCAAAGAAAACTTATAGTTACAAAAATTAAAATAGGTAAAACTCATGATTTACTGAACCAATTTTAACATTTCAAGTACTAATAGAAGTAAAAAGTTTCTATGCACAACTTTACTTAAGAACCTAAATAAGATTAATATAGTAGTAAAAAAAGTTATAATTATTTAATTGTTTAATAATAA